CCCAGGTGTATAGTAGAGCTGACAAGGGGCAAGGTTGTGGTCACTGCTTGGTCACAGCCAGCTACCCAGAGGGACCGAGTAGTTGAACCTGTGGGCTTTTTTTTGTCTGTAACAAAAAAAAAGAAAAGTAAGTGTATTTAAGGTTGTTGTTGCTACTTGCTGTTGAATTGATTCCTATGAAATAGAACTGCATAGGATTAAAAAAAAGTTTTTAATTGTGATTTGGGTGAATATTTACATAGCAAATCAAGATTCCATTCAACAATAAACACACTTTTTTTACATTATGGATTGTAATCCCCTCAGTGTAATGTAACACTTCCAGCTTTCTTTCTGTGTTTCTTATTTCCATTCCTTCTCTCCTAGCCCTTCCTGCCTTCAGGGCAAGTGCTGTGCTTTTAATCTCAGATGATCAGTTATTCTAAGGAGGGTGTACCCTCCTAGTGCCATTGTTCACCTTGTTGACACCTGTTTATTGTTGACTGAAAATTGAGCTACTAATGCAGGAATTATGAGATTCTTACCACCTATCGCAAGTAGGGCCAATCACCATAAGAGGTTGAAGTGGAAAAGCAAAAGATTTATTGAGTATTGATACCCAAAGAGACAGAGAGAATAGTTTCTGTGAAAAGTCTGTCTTTCACAAAAGGGTTTTATAGGGAGATTATACATAACAAAGGGTTTTATAGGGAGATGGGAAGGAGATTGAAGATCACTTGAACTTCCAGGAATGTCTTTGTTCTTCTTTTCTGTGGTTATTCCAGGTTTGACATCCCTCTCCCCAGGGTTGTCTTGCTTCATACACTATGGTCCTTGGCCAAAACCAATCGTGGGAGAGGTTCATGCTTAGAAGAATGTATAATTGAAAATAACAAACCTAAAAAAAATCAGTGTTTTGTTAAAAGGTTAGCTATTCTATTCCTTTAAAAGAAAGCACAGGGGAGGGAAGAATAGCAAGTTAGTCACTATGATTAATGTCTACTTTAATCATGCCTGCTGGTTTGTTAAAGTTCTGGAATTTTCAGCAAAGGGGCCCTTTGGCTTTCTACTTCAGTCTTCCATACTATGAGAGTGCGTTCAGTTCCACGTCCAAAGTTGTAACCAAGGACCATAGTCTTGGGGGTTCTGCCACTCTCTAACCAGTAAACCTAGTCTTTTTTTTTTTTAATGAATTTTGAGTTTTGTTCCACATTTTTCTCCCACTCTTTTGAGGACCTTCTGATGTGATATCTCTCAGAGCAGTTGGTAGTGGTAGCTGAGCACCATCTAGTTCTTCTGGTCTCAGTGTCCTGGAGGCTGAGGCCTTTGTGGTTCATTGGTCCTTTGGGCTAATTATTAAAACCCTTTTTGAATTGTTCTGTTGTCTCTCTTTTCTGCTCTCAGTTTTCCAGTTTTGGTAGAATGATAGGAAGGGTGTCATTTCTGGCCTTGAATTTACTCATATATTTAATTATTCTTATTTGCAGACTTAAGTTCTTTGAAAATTATTGTTTTTTCTCCTGTATATCCATGAAGCTGTGGAAGCCCTCCTGTAGAGGATGACTGTATCTGTCTGGGTGCTCCAGTATATACTATCCATAAGCAAGTTTTTGTATTGCTGTTGATGCTTCATATGTATGCAAATGTATATGGCTCAACTTTGAACTCAATTGTTATAGTCTTAGGATCTTGATCCTTTGTGATTGATTTTGTCCTGCCTTTTGACTGGGGCATGAGACTTCTTTTTAACGACAATTTGAAACAGGTAAACTCAATATTCAGATTCCCATTTGGCAGGTATTTGGTTTTCAACAGCCTGTAGTTAACCTTATTTTATCTATTAGCCACGTATGACCTAGGACCTAAACTTGCATCTTTATTCATGTCTCAAAATTTGAAGCCCTCTTTGCAGTATTTGATCCAAGTCTCTCACCATAGTAACTCAATTGCAGTTTCAGGATGTTAAGTATTACTTCTCTGCCTTTGGCATCTAGAGATTTACTGTCTTAGCTTTCAATGATATGTATTAACTTATTATTTTTATTGTACCTAACATAACTAAGTCACAGAAAGTAGTCAAACAACTTAATACATGGCTCTCTTTTTTTTTCTTACAGTATAGTCTGTTTTAGGATTTAGTCTGTAACAAAAAAATCACTTATTTATAACATTTTATTTTCCAGATTTCATTAAAAGTCACATTAAAATTATAACTTTTAGGATTTGTTAATATTATCAATATAATTTTTCCTTTTTTAAGCTCTATTTTGTATATTATAAATGCCTTTTCTGGATATTTAATTTGGTTGCTTACACATTTTAAATAATCATTTATTATTTTAATTTTCCTAGGATGAATCTTCAAGAAGAATTGGATAAACTTAAAGTACATATATCTATTGATAAGGCAACAATGCAAGAATTAAATGCATGTATGGAAGGGGAAAGAGAAGGTAAATTATTTGTGTAAATACTTAATGCAGGCATTTTTTTTCTTATCAAGCTTTTGATTTCTTAATTTCATTGTCTTCTAAGAATTTCACTTTTGATTCTCAGTTTTCACTGCTCTTCTCATTGGATAACTCCTTAACATTTCTACCTATCATGAGAAAACCAAATGAATAGAGAAAATACCTAGAAGTCAGATTTATAATTTATTAATTCTAAAGTAGTGCTAGAGAAGGAGAAAACATATTCATTTTTATTATTCAGTAATAAAGTTTTCCTAGGTTATATGTGTTCACAGCTTTATAGATAATACACTTTCTGTACTCAGTATCAATTCATTTAGATTTTCATTTGACGATACTTATTTTCTTGAAATCATTTTGTATTCATCTGTTCTAGACACAAAAACTTAGAAGAAAACTTATAGAGATCTTCAAATCTGCAATCTCTCACCACTGGAATGAAAATATTCAGGAATACAGAATGTGTTAGTGTTCCAATTATAAGAAGATTATTCTTTTGTTAAAATCAAGATAGGTATATTCACATCTACTTCTCACTTATTGACTCTCTCATTATGTGACATTTGACATTTACAACAATAATAAAAACTCTGCTGTTGGACCATTTTGTGCATCAACAATGTACATCTGGCAGTAGTGAATGCGTAGGTGCTAGGTGAGAGTGAGACTGGCTGTGATGGTTAAGGTTATGTGTCAAGTTGACTAGTCCATGATTCTCAGTGGTTCCATGATTATATAATGATGTTATTTGGCAGTTATGTAATGATATAGTTATCCTCTGTTTTGTGATCTGATGTGGTCAGCCTCCCTTTTAGCATAACTGTTTTTCACATAATGACCTGGTGTTTGGAAGTGAACCATGTTGATAAGTGAAGATTGGGTGTACAGCTTGACTCAATACTTCAGTGTCTCATAGAAAAAGTAATCAAGTTTGATATGACATAATTTCTTCTTACTTATCCTTTAGTTTTTGTTGGTAGTTGCCATTGAATGAGTTATGACTCATGACAACCTTATGTATACCAGAAGGAAATATTTTCTGAGCCTATGCCATCTTTATGATCTTTGGTATGTTTTAGCTCATTGTTGAGGCTGTTTTATCAATCTGTTTCACAGAGCTTTCCCTTGATTTCACTGACATTCTCCTTTACCAAACATGGTGTACTATAGCCTAATTTTTACCACTGTACTTTTAAGTGTTGACAATTCATATTAAATTACTACTTTCCATGTTTTATTCCTGTTTCTGTTGTTGTTCCAGTTGTTCTAATGGGGTCATTGGTAATTTGCAAAGACCGGTATTTGAATTCTTCTATTTTATACCATTAATTCTCTCCATATTTTCCTTCCTTCACTTCTTACCTGTACCTTCTCCTCTCTTCCACTGGGACCTCTGTCCATTTACCACTTAACTATTGGGAGTTCTTCAAGATTTTGTCCTTGGTTTATTTATCTATTAATTTTATTCTGGTAAAAATATAGATAACATTAATACTTGCCATTTCAACAGTCTTCACATTTACCATTCACTAACATTATGTTCATCATATTGTTCAACTGTCACCATCAACCATTACCAGATTTTTCCATTATGCTTAACAGAAGCTCAGTGTCCCCTAAGAATTGTGCCTTCTTTCCTCCTGCCTCATGCTGACTTGGGTAACCACTGATATACTTTGATCTCTATACACTTGCCTATTCTAAATGTCTCATATAAGTAGAATTATACAATATTTACACTTTTGACTTATTTCATTCAGCATAATGTTTTCTGGGTTCATCCATATTGTAGCATGTTGTTTTTAGAAAAATTATACATATAAACAAATACTTAAGCTGTAAGGAAAAATAAAACTAAAAACTGCATTAAAGACCCTTGATTAAAGGTGTTTTCTTTTTTAGACAAAACCAAAAAACCAAACTAACTGCCATCGAGTCAATTCCAACTCATAGTGACCTCCATTTGTTTCCAAGGCTGTCAGTCTTTACTGAAGCAAACAGTCTTATCTTCCTTCCATGGAATGGCTGGTGGGTTCAAACCACTGACCTTTTTGTTAGCTGCCAAATGCCTTAACCATTACACTATCAGAGCTCCTATTTACTAGGTGTAGCCAACAATGAAGGAGCTCTGGTAGCATAGTGCCTAAGGCACTTGACTGCTAACCAGAAGGCTGGCAGTTCAAACCCACCAGCCACTCATCAGAAGGAAGGCTGGGCAATCTACTTCCATAGTGATACTGCCTCGGAAACCCATGGAGGGGTCACTATGAGTCGGGTCCGACTCGACGGTACGTAACAACAACAGCCAACAATGAAGAAAATGGGGAAAAAAACCTACTTATCCTCCTACCCTCCCATCACTCTTCCTAGAAAAAAGTACTTTGATCTTCCTTGCATTGTTCTTTTCATAAAGAGATACTTTCCTTATTCCATGTTCACATTTTCAGAATAGGTATGGCTGGTAACAAAAGTGGCCAGCTTCTCTTTCAGCTTTAATTGATTTCTCAGAGGAGATAGGTTCTAATTATTGTTGCCTGATCAACTTCTAACTTTTCTAATAATGCTGTCCAGATAACGCTGGACTAATGGAAAAACACAAAAATTTTTGATGGGTAGATCTTACTGATCTTTACATATTTATGCCTAATTCATTTATCTTGGAAGGAAGGTTGGGCAATCTACTTCCATACTGATACTGCCTTGGAAACCCAAGGAGGGGTTGCTATGAGTTGGGACTGACTCAGCAGCACATAACAACAACAACAACAATTCATGTATATGAAATCCCTTCTAAACTAAATTCTACTCACTTTGACCTCTATTTTACTGTTCCTTTCAGTGAAATAGAAATAGCAATATTCTTCAGGAAATTGTCCATATACAAATTGATAGCCATTTCCCTTTCTTTGTCTCTCAAGGTAATACAATCACAAACAGAATTTTTAAGAAATTTTGGTAGGAAGCATTATATTATCTTCAGGATAAAAAGAAAATTTCAAAAAATTGCTAAGATGGCTAAAATAAAGACTCTAAAAGTAGAGAACAATGTTAAAAGTTGTAAAAATTTACATTAATTTTTAATTTAAGCCAAGAGAATTAAGAGAAATGGAAAAATATAGAAGACAGAGTAAGAAATTTAAACAGCTGTGAATAAGCAAAGTTAACTCATTGCAATCATGTTGATTCTAACTCATAGTGACCCTTTAGGACAAAGCAATACTGCCCCATAAAGGTCTCCAAGGCTATAAATCTTTATGGAAGCAGACTGCTTCCTTTTTCTCCCCCAAAGAAACTGGTGGGTTCAAACTGCTGACCTTTTGATTAGCAGCCGAATGCTTTACCACTATGTCACCAGAGCTCCTTAAGCAAAGTTGTTAGTTATAAAGAAAAGGAAAAAAATGAGTAGAGAAGAAACTCCTGGTAAAGACCATAAATTGGAATGAATTTTTATAGTAGTAAAAGAAAAGTGAAGATTTAAAAATTAAAATGTTAAAAGTAAATCTCCCGTAAGGCAAAGCACCTTCTCACATATCCACCACAGGAAAAATTATTTTTCTTACTAGGTCCTCCTGCTTCATTTTCCCAATCCTGAAATCACTGAAAGGGAAGAGAACTGTGGGGGCAGAGTTGGGTCTTTGTTCTTCCTCCATGCCTGGGTCTTGATACTCCACTATTTGTTTTAAGACCTGTGAAGATGAGAAACAAACTTCCACACATGAAACCACAACTGAACACTGTCAACCTGGCTTCCAGTGGGCCTTGCGTACACCCGGGAGCAAAGCAGCAGCAATCAAATTTCATTTTTAAATAAATACCCAGCATTTATTATATTGCACTTATTTAGGTATTGTGATGTGCTCTTTGAACATAGCACTATTGTCTTCTTTTGAGATAAAGAATAAATATTTCGCTTAGAACTATAGTAGATATTCAAATGACTGGAACAGATGAATTGTATTTGCATATTACCTCTATATTGCTGAAAGAATGTTGTAAATGAATTCAGCATCATGGTGTTAGGGGACTAGAAAAAGAAGCTTGGGAACTGGTAGATTATTATCAAGGTAAAGGTACATATTCCCCAGATGGAGAATTCTATCTGTTCTAGCTTTTATTATCATTTGGATTGTGTTCTATTTATTTCATGAGTTCAGAAGTTTTAATTGGGCATGTCATGTTCCAAAGACAAAAGAAATGCCTAATTCATTCTAACAAACTTGTTAGTCACTGTTTATACCAAGAGGATTTCTACTCTACAGAGAATAATATTGTTTTCTTTTTCCTTTGTTGATAAACCAAAGTTTTACACTGACCTACAACAGCCAACTATACTTTGAAGCAAAATCATCTCAGGCTAATACAATATCTGTCCTTTTAGTTTAATTCAATCTATTTTATACCTGTTTTTATTCTTTGAGAAATCCAGTATCCAAAAAAACAATTCAAAAGAAAATGTCAATTCAATTTATCACAGTAATTTATCTGATAAGAAAAAAATATTTACAAATTTGTGGTTTCAGTTATTTATTTTTCCTTTAGGTTGATGTGTTGTATGTTTCCTGTTTGATTGGGAAGGTTTTAGTAATTGTCAAATACTTTCCTATTGTAGGAATGATTTATAGAAACAAGTTCAGCTATGTATTTACCTGGGAGCCTATTTGTTTTTGAAATCATAGTTTTTCTGGAAAAGTGATTTCTGTTACCCAGCCCATGATCTTCCTTTCACTTTAAAAAGTGGGGGTTTGGAGGTTGTTAAAGTTTCAGTCTACCCTAATTTTGTTACAGTTTGCTTTGTTCAGCAAATACTCTGATCCTCCTGGCAGGGAACATGATCCAGAGAACAAAACTAGCAGTGAATGTGTAGATGAAAAGGCAGTGAATTCTGCTTTTAAGGCAAAGGGGGGAATAGTCTACAAAAGAATGAAAATGGGAATGAAAGTATAGCATTGTTAACCTGCAGATCTATTGTACCTTTGAAAATTTTACACTGCAGGGGAAAAAAAAAGTGACACTACAAAGATACATAATTGTGTGATTGAAAATCTTGAAAGAGGTCACTATTCAGATACTGACCAAATACTTGACAGGAATATAGACTACATTATACATACCTGAGAAACCATGCCCTTTTTCTTGAAATGACAGGATAGTGGTTCAGCAGAATGTGAGGTGCCATAGTATCTTATTTATTCTCTACCAGAACAACTTTTTAGACATGGTGAAGATGATGGGGTCAAGAAGAGTACTCCAGAGAAGAATGGGAAAGAAATGTTGGAACAGACATTACAGAAGGTAATCTAATCTTTAAGATATTGAGCTGAGCAAGTTAAATCTGAATTTTAACATAAAGGATTATATTTTAAAAGAGCTCTCATGAATTTAAACCTTGTGCGAATCCTTAATTTAAGTTCATAATTCAAAATCATTGGCTTGCCAAAGTAGGTAGGAAAAAAAATCAATGTTAGTGAAATACATGTGGAGGCACTTATGCATCTGTTGATATATATTGAAAATACTTTCAAAGATAAAATGAAGACAATGTAAGAAAAAGAAATGATCAAAATTTAGATTTTATGTGCTTATTAGTTTTAATTTAGTGGTTTAAGTTTAAAATGGTTCAGGGATGAGACTTGCTGTATTGTATTTCACCAAGCATTTAAATCTATAATCGTTGAATTAAAAAAGACACGTTTTTAGTCCCACTTAGTAAGATGGTAATATGGTAGTAAAATGGTAACATTGAAAATATGTATGTCTCATCTCATTTTACATATAAACCAATCTAAAACTAATCTACAACTTTCCGTATGTAAATAAGAACACATGTAAACCCTGTAGTCATCATGCAGCATGCCTAGTATGATACTGCTAAAAAATCTTAACATTTATCTTTTAACAATTTCATACTTAATTCACATTTTTGTATATAAATATATTAAAGGTCAATTAAGTGGGCTCCATTGTATTTTACCACTTTTTTTTATTGTTTTAAAAAGTGCACTTTAAATAGGTTTACTCTTTTACCTGATTGTCATTTGGTTACATTAAAGTAGGTTTGCTTCCAACAAATTTGTAATACTTACATGAAGTTGAAAATAAGCAACTATGTAAACAAAAATATTAGTATTGCTACTTGTTTCTTGCATCTGTGATTTGATTTGTAGGAAATGTGGTGATTTATAGCAGATAATGTGATTCCCTATACTTCTAACACCTGCCATCTGGTCAGATAACAAAAGGCTGTCATCTCATTATTAGTGAATGACACACATCAGGTTAACATAATAACAAAGAGAACAAGAAATGCTCACATTCATTTATCTTAAAGTGGGTAATTAAAACAATCTGTGCTCTACCAGCTAGAATGTCATGAGGTTAATACTAGCTTATCTTTGTTTAAGAACAATATTTTTGTTTGCCAGGTTTTCTATGCAATTTTATTTCACTGGATATGTAATACTAGGCTACTGCTTTACTGCCTTAGGGTAGAAACCAAAGAAATCCATTATTTAATTCTAACTGCCATAAATGTCTACTACTATAGTGGATCCAGAAATCTATTTTAATAACTAACAGAAATTCCTTTCATTGAACGATATGTCAAATTAGCATACTAATTCATCATTATTCTTAAATTAACCTCATGTAATTGTAAGGAGCCCTTATGGCTCAGTGGTTAAGCATTTTTGAACTTACATACCAGTTGCTCCACGAAAGAAAGGATCTGGCAATCTGCTCCCATAAAGATTACAGGCTAGGAAAACCTATTGGGCATTTCTACTCTGCCCTGGTTATGTGTCATTGGTTTCTGAGGTGGTATCACTACAGAAGTTGATTGCCCAACCTTCCTTCCGAGGACTGGCCGGTGGGTTTGAACCACCAGCCTTCTGGTTATCAGTCAAGTGCCTTAGGCACTACGCCACCAGAGCTCGACGGCAAATAACAACAACAACAACAACATCTCTGCCCTGGAGCGTCAAGATGAGTTGGAATCAACTTAACGGCACACAACAACAACAATTCACTTTTAAGATAATTTAACTCCTTAGAATTGAGCTTTCTTATTTTTAAAATAATGTGTATGAAACACAATCCTTTTAGGATTGAAAAGACAGTAACAAGATGAAAACAATATAGTACATGTTGTTGTTGTTGTTGTTATTTTGCCGTTGAGTCGGCCCCGACTCATAGCGACCCCTC